TTCTTTAAATTGTAGATTTTATTAACAAAAAACAGCAAAAATCGTCCGACTTCACCCCAAATGACGGTAGTTCGTAAGTCGAGGTTAATCCTGGAGATAATCACAGGAAACCCTGAGTTAAAAAAAAAAAAAACTATTGTCTAAATTTTGCGCCTTCAAGCTTCCGTGAACTGCCAACACAAAATACCAACAATGAAAAACAAAAAATTCTTTGTATTTCATGACGTCATAAATTCGTATGCATGGCTTTTTTGGAAGTGCGCAATCCTTTTCCTTTCTTTTGTATCCTTTGTTCCGTCAACACAAAATGCCGTTTCAAACTTTCAAAAAGTCGTACGACAAAACAAAGCGAAATCGAGATGGCTTTCGCTACAGTACGGTGACTGAATAAACCTAGGAATAAACCTTTACCAACAGTGGCGACGATAGAGCTCTGACGCCATTTTGGGGCTTCCGCTTTTTACTTTTAAATATGAATCTATAGGATTTTAAATGGACATCCATCATAATAGCTATTTATGTACCAGGGGGATTATGTAGATTATAATGCATTATAATCAATGACATCAAAACACAGATAGACCGAACAATAAACAAAATTTTCGTATGACAACATCTCTCTGTCTCTTTTAGGCCTTTGTGCTATCCCCACCACTGAGAATGCCAAATTTTGTCTTGAATCCCTAAATAATATATTTTTCTCCTCTAATTAACATTTTCAATTTTATTTCTGAACTCAATTTGGCAACAGCAGATTATAGGAAAACACCGCCCAGAAGCGGCTTGTTGAATGGCAGGCAGGTGTTGATTGTAGTAGCTAGCTATCTTTATTGCAAACAGGGATTATTCATTAGCGTTAAACAAGAAACGACACACGATATTGGTACTCCCAGAATAAAGGGCTCGTATCGAATATTTTCAGTTTATTTGTCAATTTGTTATTTTATTTATTCATCCAATTAAATTTCGAGATATATTCACGTGTGGGCGAGGTTTTTTACACCATTTTGAGCAATGATGTCTCCCTACCCCGACCCCGCGAGCAACTCACCTCCCCTGGCCCATGGGTGGTCTTGTCAACACAACAAATAATAGTTTATGAATGGGATGATCCGTCTATCTGTGTTTTGATGTCATTGATTATAATTCCAAAATCCGCGTGGTGCATAATGCTTTATTTTCTACTCCAACACAATGTTCTTTCATTTCAGTATCAAACAAAATCAGTTAAACTTGTGTGACAGAAATAGAATATTGTTTTGTATTTTGACATGTACCTATACCTAGAAACGAAATAAATTAATATATCTATAAACACCTCATAAGACAAGGCAGCGGTGGTCGTGTGGGTTAACGTGCTCGACTACATGGGAAACGTTGATGGTAGACCGGGTTCGAATCCTGGCCAAACCGAAAATTATTTTCGGTCGGACATTTAGTGGCTGCCTAGGGTAAAGTGCAAATTAATAAAACCACAATAACAAAAACACTTCAGGGTATTATAAGCGGGCGCTATAGATCATAACGCCCGCATTCATAACGCCGGCTGGCATGGGCGCCGGCAGCAGGGTGCAAGGGGGTGCACTTGCACCCCCCTGTCAAAAATACATTGAAAAAATTATTTTTATTTTATTATTATTATTTTTTTTAATAGTTACTGTTTGAAAAAATTGGCGAAACGAGAAACGATGGCCTTCTCGCATTCTTTGTTGATATAAATTTCTTTAACTTCTACGATTTGATAGCCCGAAAAAACTAGGTAGATATTAAATTGCGAGTTGCCCGAGCCCAGGGGTCGATATATTACCGGGCAGTTTGGTGCGCCGCCCAGGAGCCCACGGTCCAATAGGGCCCCACGATGCTGCGGAAAATTTCGAATATATAGAAAAAAAAGTCATACATGCAAATCAAATATAATAACATTTTAATCAGGCTACATTCTATAAGGACTCAATTCCTATCTTCTAAAATATCATTGATCTAGCGCCCATGCCTAATAATATTCGTCGTCCAGGGCCCCCCCTAGGCCGCCCCTCCAAAACTGTATTTTTACGTACAGAAAAAAATGTTACATAATGGCGTAGCCAACTACTTCCATGATTTCATGAACAAAACGCTTTCGCGAGAAACTCATGACGTCATATTGAACGTCGTTCGACGGAAGCATGGATGCAGCTTCTAGCAAAGACAATACCTTCTAGCCAGCGTTCAAACTCATGACGTCACAGACAAACTATGGTTCGTCGTTAGATGAACTACATTCGTCGCGAAAATTCGGTTTTAATCACCTAGAAAAACAAAAGAATCGTCTTTGGGCGTGGCACCAGGAAAAATTTTCACCTTCTTAAATTAGTAATTTGAACTAATATAACAATCCACGCGCCGCCACTGCCCGTCTGCACCTCCCTGAAACTAATCCTGGCGGCGCCCATGTCCGCTGGTCTTATAATGCCCTCAGGTTGTTATAGGTATGTTAACGTATTTCGTTTCCTAGGTATTATGGATCTATAATAGTTAAGTAGAAAATAAAAAATTGAAAACAACGTATTTGATGACTATTATTGACTATTATTATTAGGTACATCAAATAGGTACGTTGTTTTTAAGTTCTTATGATGGATGTCCATTTAAATCCTATACATTCATATTTTAAAGTAGCAAGAGGTAAGCCCCAAAATGGCGGCTTTTTCCATTGCATATATAGGATTTCAAAGAACCAATCAAAAATAAGACGGCAATTGTCGCCACTGTGGTGTGTTAGAGATCGCGAAAACAAATATATACATTATTATTATAGGACAGAAGAGGAGTACATTAAATACAAGTTGCAGAAGGTAACATATTCCCGCACGAATTCGAAAAGGAGCGAGTGGACGAAGAAATGAGTGGGAGAGCGAGAATAGCCTTCTGCAACATGAGTTTCTCGATTTTGGATTTTATCATTTTTTCTAATTTTACATGGTCGCTGTTAATTGGGGATTTTTCCTATTGTAAAATATGTTACTTGATGGTAACACTTAAGGCCGCGTTAGTTTTCACCTTCAAAATTCGTTTTAAGGTCATCTCAAAAAATCCGCAATAATTTCGAAAATCCTTTGGCATAAACAATATTTGATATATTATCTACAATCTCTACAATTAGCTTTTTTTAGTTTTTCGTGGTTATCAATAAAATATGCTTTTAGCGGATCCAAGCTTAATAAACATGCAAATATGCCACCACCAACACATTTAATTGTTTTGGTGGTTGCGATGAACATGATTTTTGAATTTAAAGGAAGGCTGAATATCGAAAAACCAAAATAAGGAATTGTCGATAATCGATCAAATAATGTTTATGCCAAATTTGAGCCATTTCTGATGTGCCGTTTTTTTAAAGACCTTAAAACAAGGTTCGAAAAATCAACCAATCACAGTTTAAACATGGCGGCCATTAACGCGGCCTTAACTATATACCAACTAACTGATAGGTGGATTCTATTTATTTATTGATTTATTTCGTTTATTTCAGAAGGTTTGACAATTTTGAAGGTATACACATAACCAATAGATACATTGAAAACTAAATGTCACTAAAAATCGTTGAAGAATGAGCTTGCTGGAAACTTGCCAAACATCACGTTTTTCTTTTTAGAAGAGATCATTTGGAATGATAAAGAATAATTCAAGGACAGATTCAGGTTGGAGAAACAAGCTCGGGGTTAGGTTGTGCCGTGCCTATTCTCTATTTTCTTCCCTCTCTTTATCGTGGGCATTGCAACTGACAGTTCAATAAACCCTTATGGTATGGTTTTTGTAAAGTCAATTGAAACAAGGTAAAAATAAATTGCAACTGGTTGCTGACTAGTGGCAGTACATTTCATGAAAGTATTCAATCACCAGTTGTGATTCACCTTTACCTTGTTTCATCTGACTTTAAGGCTATGGTCCGAATATAACCAAAAGTTAACCAAATCGGTTGACAGATGGTTACTGAAAATTCCGGTTACTTGAGGAACGCGAATATGAGATAAAAAATAATTGACACAATTCTAAAACCAACAGAACCGACATTTGATAGCCGGTAACTATTTTGACATTTGGTTAACCAGATTTCAGGAAACCAAGGTTCAATAGTAACCACTTTTCCAGGAACCAAAGTAATTTGATTACTTTCGGACCCCGAAACCAAAACCCAGGTTATATTCGGACCACAGCCTAAGACTATACAACACTTGAAACTCTGAACCACGTTCAACAGAACTTGCGGTGGGTTGGGGTTGTGCAATGACCTATGACCTGTGGTTGAACCTCAACGGGTTGAACCAATGGTCGCGTTCACCAGCACTAAGCATGTTGATCAGTAAGCGGCTTTGTTCCAACAAGTGGAATTCACAAGGTAGAACAGTTTTGATTGGCCTAGGCTGATTTTCATCTGTCTTCAAACAAAAGTTGGATTCCTTTCACACCTATGAGGCGCTCCGGAACAGCTCCGCGGCGTTATGCGCTTATTCCTTTCGAAAAGTGTTTGTTGCACCAGAGTACTCAAGCCCGAAGTAAACCAATAACCCTTTTCACGTGGCTCCGGTTTAACAAACCGCAACATACCGCTTAAATTCGGGTGGTAGGTATCCATCACGTCACTTTGTAACTGGGTTAGAAAACGGTATGTCATTTCTCTAACCCGGTTAGTTAAACCGGAGCCACGTGAAAAGAACTATTTAAATGCACGCGAAAGCCAGCGCATCTGTTCCTTTCAAATCGGGGCGACTTACACCGGAGCGAGTAGCTCTAGTGTTTCAAACTCTTGAAAGGAATAAAGCTAAAAGCCGCTGACTAATCACTCAACATGTTGAGTGCTGGTGAACGCGACCATTATTTGTACAACCGGGCCTACTCCTACTCTTGTCAGGACGGTGCGCTCCGGTTTTTTTTACCGCACAGCTAGTTATCGAACGCAATCCTGCTGCTGTCGTCGTCAGTTCTAATTGTCATTTGTCAATTCAACATTTGTCAATTAAGTCACAACAAGTCTTTTTGTTTCCAAAAATATTATACTTATTGTGGTATAGGATCTCTATAAAAGTTCCATAATCAAACCTGTGAATAAAAAGCAACTAGGTAAGCCAAAAAATTCAAAATCATTCTCTATCATTGGACTGTGTGACTCCATTATCCAAATTTGCGATTTTTTCATTTAATATCAATTACTTTTATACAGGATTTTATATTTATCTGGCACAAAAGTGTTAATAGTTATTTATATTACTAGTACGGCATGAGCTTTATTACAGTTCGAGTGGGGCCACACGAGTGCTGTAATGAACACTGTACATGTGATTTACCTACAACATTTTATCTATGAGCAACGGATTATTCAGCTAGGCTGAAATAAAATATATCCTCAACAAGTACGTTGAGCAATTGTGCAAGCACTGCTTTTTAAATATCCAAAACAAGCGCTGTCACCAGCATCTAGGTATTAGTTTTACTTAATACATATCTCGATACATATGTATTTATAATTTTCTCGAATTAATGAGTTTTAAAAAGTGCAGTTTTTCAATAAGAGTTAGTTACATGATGAGCATATTAAACCACTAATGATATAACGAACACAATATATAATTAGTGCTATAATACAACTTATTATGTAACTCGAACAGGCTAAAATCGGTTTTGTAATAAGCTCTTATAGTGATGGTCATAATTAAAAAAAGTTTACATAAAATATTTGTCTAGATTAGCGTAATGGTGGGTATATACAGACATAACAGAAAATAAGATAAAAAGTTGAACTTATGGAAACACAATAACATCATGATCATAACATGAGACCTAAGAGCTGGTTAACTATTGTCTTATTTTATGTGAAAATTGATCTGCGCATGTTCCATTGAGAATTTGACTTGATATGACTCTTTTGTGTTTGATAGAATGATAGAAAACTCTTGCAGCTGATTGGTCGAAAATTATTTCTTATGTTACCTATGTGTATCTATAAACGCTACAAAATATTCTTATTTCTTATATTATGTTATGTATCTGTATATGCCATTAGACTATAATTATTTGCTTATAGGTAAATGTTTAGTATAGAGTATAGCCCTAACACCAAATTTTTAAATGAAATGCTAACTCCTACTAAATCCCTCAAATATTAATATTAGGTGACTAAACAAACTATGGTTAAAATTATTCTTCAAAAAAAACTAATATGTAATTTCTATTTCCAGCTAAAATCTTATCATGGGTTGTGATGGTGGTACAATTCCACGTCGTGACGAGTTAGTAAGAGTTAAAAAGAAGCCGGAACAAAAAGACAAAGATGCCGAGCTGGCTGCCTTATGGAAATGCTGTGCTATAACACAAGAAGCCTTACGAGAACCCATTGTAATGTGCCACCTGGGAAAGTTGTACAACAAAATGGCATTAATTGAAGCTTTGCTAGATAGAAGCGCGTTGGCTGAAGAATTCCGTCATATAAAGAATTTGAAAGATGTTAAAAATCTAAGACTTACCAAGAATCCAGAATACAAAATAGATGAGGACAAAAAAGGAGGTGCAGTAGATCATCGTGGGTCACCATACATTTGCCCCGTTCTGGGACTTGAAATGAGTGGCAAGTTTAGATTTGTTGCTGTATGGAATTGCGGTTGCGTATTTTCTGAAAGAGCTTATAAGGAAATTGGTACCAAAAATTGCCATAAATGCACCAAACCCTTCGAGGACGATGATATTGTCATTTTAAATGGGACTACAACAGATGTTGAATTGATGCAAGGAAGAATGGAATTAAGAAAGGCAAAAAATAAAGACAAAAAGAAAATTAAAGTTGAACCAGCTACACCTTCTACAACCACTTCAGCGACTATTGTTTCCGATAGTGGCAGCTGCTTATTAGAACCAAATAAGAAGGCAAATAAAAGAACACTTACAAAAACTGAAGAAATATCTAAAAAACTCAAAATTGAAACTGGTGGATCAACATCGCTTTCAAAAATAGGAAATGTTATATCTTCGGGTAAAGTAACCAACGCAGAAGAAGTAAGGAAAATGACTTCAGATTATAGTATAGCCCAAGATAAAAAAGCTACAGATGTTTATAAATCCATATTCACTACTCATAAATCCGAAAAAGAACAGGAGAGGGCTCATTGGGTTACATACAATCCATTTTATAACTAATTTAATACTGAGAATATAATTATTTTTATGTTAATGGACATGCTGCTGCAAGATTGTTTGCACATTGAATTGTGGAATAATTTATGTATAAAAATAGCTATTTATACAATAAGTTACGAAATGAGCGTCTTTTAGGCACGCGACGTGAAAATTGTCCAACGAGGCAAAGCCGAGTTGGACAACACGTCGAGTGACTAAAAGACATCGTTTCGTAACGTATTGTATACAAGATTTTTTCTACTGGCATTTTATAATAAAAAAACACAATTTTATTTCATGTGAATAAGTCGATTACACCCAAAATCTTTGTTACCTGCTTTTACTTGACACCTGACACTTTTCATGCGATTTTCTTTTCAAAATTCGACATCAATAATTAAAATCCTAGAAAGTAGGTAATAACACAAAGTTCTGTTTTGAGTAACCCAAACGTTCAATTCAGTAATTCCATTTTCAATATTCATAATAAATACAAAACAAAATTCAAATATGTGTTCAGTGTGTTTTTTATTTCTGAATAATGAATGACACTTTTAGGCACTAGTGCTTAAAAATTACTTTTACGCACTCATAAGTCACTTTTACGCATTCAAAAGTCACTTTTACGCACTGAGTGCCTAAAAGTAACTTTCACGCACTCAGTGCCTAAAAGAATGTCGTTTCAAAACTGAAATGACAATCGAAAAGTTGCTATTATGAAACGTCAGTAGAAAAAGGATTTATAAAACTTAGAATATTTTAATTGTATATGGTATATTGATTGTAATAGAATATAACATAATTTATTTATTAAATGGTTAATACAAAACTAATTCAGTAGCATAGAAATTTATATGGGAGTTTTCTTTTCAAGAGAAGTGTTCCTCGGATAGAGCTACAATTTGGCCAATACGCCTGTAATTTGTGGGGACAACTAAATTGACCAATGTAGCCAAAGCTTATCCCTTTTAGGACACATCTCACATCAATTCTTTTTATGCTAGGAATTTTGCCTTGTTCTAATGGTGAAGTAAATTCCTTTGTGGTAAGTTCACCTGCAATTAAACTAGATGGTGCAGTTTTTTTTTAAGGCCTAAGGGTAAAGGTATGTGCTTATTCACTCTCTAAAAGCTTTTGGATGCACAAGTAAAAACCAATTTCTTTCCATCAATCGCCTGACTTGCAATTTCTCTAAACGCCCTTGTGGCCAGAATTTACGGAAGTAGGACTGGTTTTCTTACTATCTTACCCATAGCAAAAAGTTACCTTTTTGTAAACTATAAAGTGCATGGAGAATAATATTTATTTTTCAAATTCATTTGTTTCCTATTAACATAATTTGCTGCGGTTCCATGTATTCTATCGTTCCATGATAGTCCAAGAGCCCAGAGCCGCCAGACACAACTTATTTTCTAAAGGACAGAATATGTGGAATTGTGTAGCACTTATATGTACTATGAACGTATGTATACCCGCTAAGTTGGGTAGACGTCCAATTTACCAACAGGAGGTGTGAAAGCTGAAGAAAGCTTCAACTTTTTTTCTAACGCTTGATTTTTATATATGGTATTTGGGAGACTATTTTATAACTACGTGTGCTTAGCCAGACCAATCGCACCGGCCAAACATTCCCCCAGACGCAAAATAATTTTTCCGGGAGTGTGAGCGCGAGGGTACTATGCATGCGTTTGAGAGTGAGCGAGATATCTATGTCAACTGATTTCCCCCTCTTAAACGTACAGTCTACTCTAGGCTAGAGTAGAAATGAGATTCGGTTTTTCCCATAATAGGAAAAACCGTTATTTACAAATAACAGTCAATTGGCCGTCTACTCAACTTAGCGAATATACATACGTTCATAGTACCTATAAGTGCTACTCAATCCCACATATTCTGTCCTTTAGAAAATAAGTTGTGTCTGGCGGCTCTGGGCTCTTGGACTATGAACCCTATTTGTTTGCAGTAGTGTGTTCTGTTCTAAGAGTACGCTAATTCCGTTCGATCGAGAACTCTTCCTGGAGACGATCTAGTGAGTTCTTTAGAGTGCTAATGATACTTGAAATATAATAATTCTAATGGTTCAAAAAAATAATAGACAACATTTCAACATAAAAAATGTATATTAACTTCAATATACTGCATAGGTATCACAGATGGCATAAGATTTGTACACATTACTTAATATATTTTATTATTGACTAATCTAGATATTTACGGGGATATTTATATGTTCACTTTCACACATTCAATACCATTACCAAAAATATACAAATATAAACTTCTCTTGTCTAAAATCGCTTCTAATCCTTGAGGATCAGCTATGGCAGTGTCATATTTTTCTAGCATACTAAATTTTACTTCATTATCTTTATAAAGCCATTTACTTATCACTATTCTTTGGTCAATGGAGCTAGTTATAAAATATCCATTCAGTAGAAAAGCTCCAGTTATCTGAGCACAATGAATCGCGAAATTTTGATCAACATTAATTTTTGCTAAACTTATAAAACTATTTTGTTTATGAATACCAAATAACGTCAAACTTATGCAATTATCATCCCCACCGGTTAAAGTTATCAATCTGTCATCCTTTAAAATATAACTAAAAGACGTTATACCCGATTGATGAATCTTGAAGAAATTTAGAGCCTCATTACTTTGATTATAACAAATATCTGATATAGACCAAAATTTTAAATTCCCATCAGTCGCCATAGAAGCTAATAAATCGATGTTAACTCCCCCTTTAATTAGAGCCAAGTTGCTTATACAATGATTAGAATGAGAAATAGAATTTTCAAGTTTTAAATTCATATCAGTCGATATGGAAAATATTTTTATTAAACCATCCGAACGACCAGCAAAAAGGTACAACTGCTCATGTATATTTGCAATACACAAATGCATTATTCTAGTTTCTCCTTCTTCTTGGCTTACAGATTCATAAAAATTGCATTTTTCTATGCATGATATTTTTTCATCTTGTATTTCAATTTGCCAACAAATTATTTGAGCCCGTCCACCAGCTGTTATCAATAAATATTTATTTATGTTTAATTTGTAATAATTTATGGCTCTAATGCTTGAAAGATGTATTTTAAATGTTTCTAGGATTTTTATTCTATTAAATTGAGCTATACTTAAACGGAGAATGGTGTCTTCACCTCCAGAAATAACCAAATGATAATCCTCACTTAATTTCAAAACTTTTAAGGCATTAATTTCTCGGACGTGGAAGCCTTCAATTACATCTTTTGGCATAAAATCTTCCATATTTAACTGGCAAGTGTGTATTATTTTTTGCTTGATAAAACTAAAAATTATGCTTTTTGAATTTGTCACATAATCCCACGATCTATGTCCACCCCCGCATTTAGTTTCAAATAAAATTCTTTGAAATTTAAAATCTGAAACTACAAAATTATCACCTGAAAATGATAGTAATAAATTATTTTCCAAGCCTACCAACCAAGAAAATTTAGTTTTGTTAGAATCAATACACTCCAAATTATTATTTGAAAGTTTATATCTTTTTATAAAACCATCCCTACCTAAAGAGATAATTAAATTGTTTTCAAAATATAAATAAGTAACTCCTAAATAGCTATGCGACTTTTTTTGTGTATTTATCGGACTTTCGTGTCCAATTTTAAAATTATAGATATTCCCCTTTCTATCACCTAAAATAATGTGATCGTTTAAGGCACAAGCACAGGTTGGCCACCTCTCCTTTGAAGATGGAAATATAAATGATTGTATAAAATTAATTGTATTATTAAAAATAAAATATAGAATTAAAATGCCATCTTTTTGAGTGACTAAAAATCTATTGCAATCTAGCCAATGAAATGCAAATATTCTTGATTTATGTTGCAAAAAAAATTTATTAATTAAGTGATTTTCTCTATAAATATATATTTGCCCATCAAATCCGGCCAGAGCAAATAATCTTTTGCAAGGAGATATTTGTAAAATGCAATATTTTTGCAAATCCGGGTATCTAGCAACTTCTTGCCAAATAACATCATGATAATACAACACTGCTTTTTCAGATAAACAAATCATATTTCCTGCCCTTAATAATCCAACAATTTTTGGAATTTCTCGATTAGGTAAACTTGAATAATCTTTCACAACTTTTGGATTAACTCTAAAAGTTGTTATTGCTCCATCATTCCCACCGCTACAAATAACATCTAAATTTTTATTGTAACCCAAAGACCAAACTGCACCACCTTGATGAGTCTCAATTTTTCTTAGCAAAGAACCGTTAAAGTCCCATACAATTATTAAAGAATCTTCTCCAACTGTTATGAAACATTCTTTTAAAATTAAACAGCGGAATATTCGAGCTAAATGTTCATATACCTGGCACAATTTATTTATTTGAATGTCCTGGGGATTTGTTGAAGTCATTTTCCAAAGCACTGCAGATCTGTCATCGGATGTGGCACATATTAGGCCATTGTCTGGGTTATAATCAATGGAGAATATAACACCCTGAAAATTTGCTATTAAAAATCTGCTTTTATAAAAATTGCATACACTTACGTTGTGTTCTTTGAGCCTTTTTAACACTGGTGAACATTTATTTTCATGAGAATTTAATGGTTTCCATAATAATACCTCACTGAACACTGTCCCTGATAGAATCAAAAGTTCTTTGTGACTATCATAGCAAATATGGGCACTATATAAAATGCATCTTTCCTCACATTTTACTGATATTTCTTTTAAAAAATCTTTATTCCATATAGTAAGTTTATTATGCATGAACACAGTTGCTATTTTATTATCATTTTCTATCCATTTGACGGCTAATATCCAGTCAGAGAGAATATGGTGGGTACTTTTTTCTATTTCTTCAAAGTTTCCTTGTGGACAAGATGTTAAAGATATATGTTTCCCGCCAAAAATAATAAGTTTTGATAAATTCAGATTTGGTTTAATTCCGTATATTTTTTGTCCTTCGAAAATCTTGAGGCGCTTGATTAGGTTGTTGTTTGGTAATTGGTATATGTGCAGAAATCCTCCAATACCTAAATAGATAGGAATATTCAGTTAAGTTGAGAAGCATATTGACTATACAAATATAGAATATTTTGTTGAAATTATTTACAATAAAACTAATTTGGTGAAGCTAAAAAATGTGATAAAATAGCTATTTATGCAACAAGTGCGTAAAGTGATACTAAAAAGGTCTAGATTTCTTCTTATGACTTTATCATAGTGTTAGTGCGAAGAACTCTTAGGACGGGTATTATAAAACTACTTTGAAAGTTAACTTAAAGTTAACTTCTGGAATTACATGTAATTCAAAAAGTTAACTTCAAGTTAACTGTCAAAGCAGTTTTATAATACTCACCCTTACACTGTAATGGATGAGTAGTAATTGCTACATATGTTGTGTTTAAAGTTAACTTGTTGTTCAGGGAGAGGGAGGGGAGTGGGTATAGGATAGGAAAGGATGGGAAAGGAGGGAAGGGGATTTCATTCTTTAGAAAAGAAGAGGTGCCTTTAGATTTCTGAGAGTAGCTCTGTCAAGGTTAACAGTAAAGTTTTCGTCGAATAAGTTTTTAATGATGTCATTAGTATGGTAACTGTCAAGAAACTGACTGCAGTGGCGTGTTTACCATGTAAGCTAGGGAAGCACAGCTTCCCCTCGAGGATTTATTAAGAACATGAAACTAAACTTTATGTAGACATTTTCAAAAAGAAATATATGAAAGCTGTGAATGGCTGACTGGTTCTGAAATTATAAGTCTCTCCTGTCCTGTACTTTCATCATCTTTCCCCACAGCTTCCCCGTCTGTTAAAGTCTGGAAACGCCACTGAAACTGAGTATGTTTAGGTAATTCACTGTATTTCACAACCTAGGGTGTGAAGTAAAACCAAATTTTTATTGTAAAAAAGGGCAGCAAAGCTTTTATAATATCAAATTTTGTACTTGTGGGTGTTTATGCATTTTTTGTGAAGAAAACTTTTTTGTTTACTTTAGACACTAGTGTGTGAATTGAAAATTTAAGTCTTTTGAATGGTGCGTAAAGTGAGTACTTTAAGCACAGTAGTTTTTGACACAAATTGCATACAAATTTTTTTCTGCTACCAATAAAATATGTATAAAAAAATGAATTTAGACAAATACTTTACACCCTAGTGTGTGAAGTGAAATTTTATGTCTTTTGAATTGTGAGTACTTTACGCACGGTAGTAGAATATTTATTAATGCAACAAGTGTGTAAAGTGAACCTTTTTTCACGAATGTGAATTTTGACGCACGAGCCGAAGGCGAGTGCGACAATCACATGAGTGAAAAAAGGAGCTTTAGGCACGTATTGCATACAACATTTTTTCTACTACCAATCAAATATGTGTAAAAGACGAGGTAAAAGAATAGATTTAGACAAATACTTTACGCACTAGTGCGTGAAGTATTTTCACTTTACGCACTAGTGTGTGAAGTAATTTACCAGAAAAATACTAAATTGACAGTATCGCCATTTGTCATTGACATTATTTTACACACTAGTGTGTGAAGTGAATTACTTTACGCACTAATGATTGAAGTGAAATTTTACGTCTTCTGAATAGTGCGTAAAGTGAGTACTTTACGCACGGTAGTAGAAAAAAATATTATTTTGCCTACCTGCAAAAACATGTTTGTCTATGATTTCAATACATGTAACGTCGGTTTGTAAGCAGAGAGAATTAAACATTTTAATAAAAGTAATTCAAAATGTCAAATACATAATTTTTGGAACGAAAGTGTATTATGTAGGATAATGTTTTTATTTTAAAATTTTCATCCATGCTTAGATAAACATAACAAATATAACCTCACTTTTTGCTGTGATTTGTGAATCTGTAGCTGCGTTCGATAATTGATCCGTCCGTACTCCGTACGCTCCAAATATTTTTTAGCTTAACGCCGGGCGTTCCGAGCAAAACTTGTCGCGTTCGTGAATACGTCGAGAGAGCGTATCAAGCACGCTCATTTCGCTCCGAACTTTTAGAGTAGCCCTTTCCCACTATTCAAAACTACCAGAGGCGTTTTCTCGCGTCCACTTTTCTGAAACTGGCTCAAAACTGTTTTGAAACAGTACATTCTCGCCTTGACGTAGGTTTTTTAAACAGCTAACGACGATAGGACGTCGGAAATGGTAACACACTAATAGGGCAACGTTTACCAGCCGATAAGCAATCCTTGTAGGTGTGTCACAGCTTGGTGTGTATCATCATTTCCACACCACAGTACCACAGCACAGCCCACGAATAATACTCACTACTACAGGATTGCGTATCGGCCTCGTTTTTGGTAATCGCGGTCATAGTGTAGCACTATTTGCGACGTCATTGACTAAGGGCGGGTATTATAAAACTACTTTGAGAGTTAACTTAAAGTTAACTTCTGGAATTTACATGTAATTCAAAAAGTTAAAGCAGCCAAACAAGTTTATTTTTTTTAAATAATTTTTTATTACTAACCAAGCTTTCGATACTTTTTTGTATCTTCTTCAGGGCTAAAATTATATAAGTTTAAAATATAAAATTACAAAATTATGACTTACTTGTAAGTGAATTATTTAAAATAAAAAATTTGCATTGATAGGTATAAAATTTGTATAAGGACTATAAAGTTAGAATTGTAAAGTTTTTTTGAAAAATTTTTGTTGTTAAAACAAAGACTTTTTTTTGTTATAGGTAAATTTTGTATGCTATCTATGTTTAATTTTTAGTTTTTCATTTCTGGTTTTTTTTTTAATAGTTAAGGTAAAGGTTATTATTACGGGTTTATTTTTTAAATTGTTAAAATATATGAATATATGGAACTTAAATCTTGAATATCTGTTCTTTTGTTCATTGAATTTGTTCCTTTGTCAATTTCAACCATCTCAAGGAAAAGTCTTTGGTTTAAATTTGTTTGTTATTGGTGTAAAATTTTAGCTTCATTGAAATTTATATTGTGTCCTGTTATATAAGAATGTTCACTAATAGCTGATGAGTCTTTTTTTAATCTGATGTCACTTTTGTGTCCAGAAATTCTATTTTTCAAATTTTGTTTAGTTTGGCCTATGTATATTTTATCACAGTTATTGCATGGAATGGAATATACGATATTTGATTTATTTAGATTTGATGTTTGATCTTTTAATTTAGAATAGAGTTTAATAATAGGTTTTATATTTTTATTAGCAATCTTAACATTTTCATTACTAATCAACTTACTCCTCAAATGAAAAAAATATTTAGTAGTAAAAGCCTGTGGTCCAAACACCTACGTCAAGGTGAAAAACGACACGCTGCGCCGTAATCACTGGTAGTTTTGCGTGGTCGGAGGCAATGACATAAGAGTTGAATTCTATCCTGTGTAGTGTGTAATATCCTTGGCTCGAGTAAAAGGGGGTTTTGGGGGTTTTACATGCTGCAATAAATCTTGCAGTTAGACGGTGCAAGTGCAAGTACCTGCAAGATTCTTTCTGTAAGATTTCTTGCGCCGTCTTGCGGTTTGGCTTTACATGTGTTTTGAAATCTTCCAATTGCTTTCTTCTGCCAACATAAAGAAAAAAAATATATTATAGGAAAACAGAACCTTACTTTTCAATACCTACCTATTCTTGTCGGTGTTGGTAGTTGGTATTTGTTTACTATTATACTATTACTATTACTTTTGCTGTATGTAAAAAATTAATCATGTTCTATTTCAAAAATTAATAGTAGAAATAGAAAAAAGGTTATTGCTGCTATTCTTTGCATCATTCATCATTATTGGTGCCGCCCATCGAGCTTAAAAGGCCTTTTCATACAATGGTATACCTAATTAAATAAAATATCTCTACCTGTATATTGAAAATTAAAATTGATTCAAACAGAATGTCATAGGTGCCTACTACCTAACAAAACAACATTATTGTTTCTTATGAAACGTAGGTACCTGTCCTAAAAGTAGATTATTTTCAGTGTAGGTACCTATAATTAAATAAATAAATATCTCTACTTGGATTTATAATTTATCTGTATTTTAAATTGATTCAAGCACGGCTCTGGCATAGGTACCTTACCTATTCTCATTAATCTATAAAGATAAACATAATTTTAAAAGTAGTAACTTTTATTGAAAGTTGGCATGCCAAAAATTACCAAATTTTCCCCCAAAAATACTCTTGCAGAGTCTTACACTTGCAGAAATATCGAACAGAACCGATAAGTTGCAATTGCAAGAAGTCTTGCAACTTGCAATCAGCTGGGTTTCAACTGCGCATATGCCTTTTGCAAGAGTTCTTGCAACTTGCACTGACTTGCAGGTACTCTTGCAGCATGTAAAACCCCCTTAAGCCTGCTGCAAGCAGAGCTGTCAAAGATACTTTTAAAAAGTATCTAGTAACAAGATAAGTTAATTTTGGAAAAAGTATCTGAAGTTACTTTGGGTATTTAGTTACTCATTAAAGAAAGGATCTTCAATACGTAGGTATCTTAAGTTACTTAAGATACTTGATAAGATATACTTATTAAGATAGGTATTTTATTAAAACTTCCAAATAGCAAGCGAAAAAACCGATAAAGCTTTTGCTGTTTAGTTTATTTGGTCCACAGGTTTCAGATTCAATTTTATAAACAAGAATTTTTATAGTTTAAAAAACCCGAATTCGAGAATGAAGTTCAAAATCGCAGGACATAGAAAGTTATCACAGTTACAATCACAAATCATAGTTAAATTTTTATAGAATATAAGGATAAATCGCGTCGTGAACTTTTGAAGTACAAAATCGTCAATCATCTCTTCTGTTAAATGAGTGTACACTTACTTACTTTACAGAGCGGCTGGGTGAGTACAAATGAATAATACATAAAACGTAAGCTTGATGCTTTTTGAAGTTTGAACCAGTTTTATGTTTTTGGGTCGGATTTGGGTAAACGTCTCAAGAAACTTTTTTCACGCTAATACTTTTCGTTAACTTAGATTAGACTTTTCAGTATCCAAGGTACCTACTTCTAAAGTATCTGAGATACTTTTTGGTATCTAAGATACTTTTTTAAGATACAAGTTACAGATCCTTTTGAAGAGTAACTAAGATATATACTAGATACTTTTGCCAAAAAATAAAAAGTATTTAAGATACAGTATCTTAGATACTCTAAAGTAGTAACTAAGATACTTTTTTCTGACAACATGACCTTAAAGGCTGTCAGCTGTCAAAAATTGTATACTTTACGCGTTGTCTACATATTTTACACGTTGTCTACATAGATTAGTTTGTCTACGCGTTGTTTACACCAGAATGTAAACAACCTTTATTTACGCGTAGATGATTATAGGTCAAAACGTTGAAATCACCCAAGGATGATACACACTACTACTACATGATCGCCTATTCTCATAAGGCCTATGTGTAACAAATCCCCCTGTTCCTCCCCAGGCCAAAATACCAGTTGTAACATAGCAGTATGTCATTTCTCGCCTTGACGTAGGCTGTTTAAACAGCTGACGACTTAGTTAGGATGTTGGCAATGGTGGCACACCAATATGGCGGCGATTACCGAAAACGAGGCCGATAAGCAATCCTAAAGCCCGAGACACATCTATCATGCATTTTTCCGATCCGACTCCGATCATGCAATCAGGGTCCTTATTCTTGGAACAGGGAACAGTGTTCCCAGGCGTTCTCCTGGGAACGCTGTTCCCCTGTTCCAAGAATAAGAACCTTGATTGTATGATCGGAGTCGGATCGGAAGAATGCATGATAGATGTGTCCTGGCCTTTAGGAGTATGTATTCTCCTTGAAAATCACCTACCTATTCTATATTTAATATCGACGAAAAAATTAACTCACAAGCACAGCCTGAATCGCAAGCAATCCATCGAGATCTGCGGATGGTGTCACCCCTATTACCAGCCGATAGTAGCGACGTCACCCGCAGACCTCTGCCGACTCGAGAATTGACGAACGTACGCCTTATTACGATGAGCAATCCTGTGAGTTTACGATTCTTGAGCCTGCCTGTAGAAGAGAAAAAGTGGCAATGATGAAATGTCATTTATTTTGAAGTATCTCTTCTGTATCTCTTCAAATAAGCTTTTTTTCCGAATATCTCCGGAAGTACTCAGAATTTTTCAAAGATCGAAACGGCATTTTGACGAGCAAGAAATTGCGCAAATTTGCCCGAATTTAACCGATCCTGTATCTGTTACCCTTACTGAGATCCCTATTCTCCATATACTTACTCTAGAATTTGTAACATCCTAATAATCCTGTATATTGTACTTCCTACTTTTCGTTTTTTTTTTGAATAGGTACATTTTAAGGTGTTTATTTGTATTGCTTTTCTTGCGTCAAGCAGATTGGCGTTCACTTTTCCCATAGTCCCATATAAGCTCATATATAGCAGCTCCTAGCAGATCTTCCTGGTTTTTCGAGCAGGTAGAGCAAGTACAAATGAGCAGGTAGAGCAAGTACAAATGAACAGCCTATTTGATAAACAATTGATAAATAAATACCTACACTCTTCTCTCTTTTTATTTATTGCATATAATGAGTAAATAAATAGGTCTGTCTCTGCAGAAATCACAAACCAGTCAGAGCGAATTTCATTGGTTGAAAACATATAGACAGAAACAGTCAGAACACTAGTTTCAACCAATCAAATTCACTCTGACTGGTTTGTGATTTCTGCAGAAACAATATAATTGGTGCCAACTGTTAGCATTTGTATTAAATTTTAACAAAAGAACATACAGGGTGAGTCACTAAGCGCGCGATGGCCCATATCTCCTCCTATAGGTACTAATGGAGTTTTTGAATTCATTTTTTCCATTTTTAAAACTGTTTGCTTTCCCAAAGACTTTCCAATTTTCTTTGATCGATTTGAAGAAACTTTTGTATTAAACATTTTTTGTTTAAGGCCGCGTTAATGGCCGCCATGTTTAAATTTAGTTTTTGAAATTGACGACTGCGTCACTCTACACATACGGTTCAATATTTTATTATTTGTCCAAAACAAAATCTGTTTGTCGGTGAAACACTTAGTGACAGAGAAAGACAAATATACAATTATGATGCTCCCAATGTAGCTTTTTTGCCGTGGCGCCATCTACTTGAAATTGCTTGAACTGTTTTCAGCTTCAAAATTCCTTTTAAGGTCATCTCAAACAATCCGCAATAATTTCCAAAATCCTTTGGCATAAACATTATTTGATATATTATCTACAATCTCTACAATTAGCTTTTGTTAGTTTTTCATGGTTATCAATAAAATATGCTTTTCACGGATCCAAGCTTGATAAACATGCAAATATGTAACCACCAACACATTTAATTGTTTTGGTGGTTGCGAACATGATTTTTGATTTCAAAAAAAGGCGGAATATCGAAAGACCAAAATAAGAAATTGTAGATAATCGATCAAATAATGTTTATCCCAAATTTGATCCAATGCTGATGT